CTTGCTTGGAAAACAAATCAGTTACCACCCAAATAACTGTGTTTCCCCCACTTTCGGGTAATTCCACTATAAAGTCCATAGAAATTTCCTTCCATGGAGCCGTTGGTCTAGCCACATTTTGTAACAACCCTGCTGACTTACCAAGAGGTCTCTTGGCTGATGCACAAATAGAACAGCTAGCTACAAAGGTTTCAATGTCCTTCTTCAAAGTAGGCCACCAAAATTGCCGCTTAACTAGGTGTAAGGTTTTCACGAACCCAAAGTGACCAGCTGCTTTAGAATCATGAGCCTGTTGTAAGATTTGGCTCCTTGGTTTCTCTGGCACATATAACTTGGCTCCCACCCAGGTCAGTCCATCTCTAACTGTACAGTTATTCGAATGAGCCAGGAACCAATTATCGAGTTTTAGAGCATCCTTTAATTGCACAGACAAATCATTCGATAGATCCACTTCCTGCTTCTTCTTTTGGACTCTAGTAACTACTGGAGCTGCCAACTGTTCGATTGGGACAATCGGCTGTACTACTTCCTGGCGAGCACTATTATATTGAGGTAGTCTAGATAGAGCATCCGCCATGAAGTTCCTTCCCCCTGGAATGTACTTCAATGAAAAATTAAACCGTTTAAAGTACTGAGCCCAGCAAACTTGTTTGGGGGACAGCTTCCAAGGTCTTTTCAAGGCCTCCAAATTCTTATGGTCGGTCCACACCTCAAACGGGTGTTTTGCTCCTTCCAAGAAATGTCTCCAAGTGAGTAGGGCCCAACGAACTGCAAAAGCCTCTTTTTCCCACACTGCCCACCTTCTTTCGGTTTCAGATAATTTATGGGACGTATATGCACAGGGTTATAAAATCCCCTTCTCATTGATTTGCAGCAATGCCGCTCCAACCGCCACACTAGCTTCACATGTTCATCCCAGGTCTCTGTGTAGATAAGGATATCATCAAGGTAGACCAAAAACCCCTTATATAAATGTTCATGTAAAACCTGATTAATCATCTGCATAAATAGTGCTGGAGCCCCCTGTAGGCCAAATGGAAGAACACGGAACTGGAAACAACCTATTGGGCAGTTTTCCATTCGTCCCCTTCCTTAATTCGAACCCAGTAGTACACTTCTCGCAAGTCGAGCTTCATAAAAATCTTCCCCTTGGCCAGGTGGGCCAGCATGTCCTTCATCAGGGGGAGGGAGTACATGTTTTCTATGGAAATGGCGTTCAGGTTTCTATAATCAACACATAAGCGAAAGGAGCCATCTTTCTTTTCACGGAACAGTACTGGGGCCGCTACCTGGGGTCTAGCGGGCTGGATGAAACCATGTTTCAAATTTTTATCGATAAATGACCACAGTTCTTCCAATTCTCGCGGTGTCATCGAGTACAGCTTAGGTTTCAGGAGTTTCACCCCAGGTAAAAATTCAATACTATAATCTGTTGAACGATGAGGGGGAAGTTCATCTGAGGCCTTTTCACTGAATACTTCTTTTAAGTCCCAATATTCCTTCAGAATTTTCTCCCCCCCCCCCTTCAATTCCTCGGTGCCCGTGGAAGCTAGGTCAACAGGATTCTGGAGTTTTGGTTGAGAACGCCCCTCCCCTTCTGGGCGCTGGTCGGTACATATACGTAATGACCCTCTTCTCCAATTGATATGGGGGTTCCATTTCTGGAGCCAGGGAAATCCCAGTATTAGTGGCTGTTCCATCCCAGGGGCCACAATAAAACACAGAGTCTTGCTATGCTTCCCCATTGTCATTTCTATGGGTTCCATTATGAAATGTGCAGGACCGCCCCCCCCCCCACCACTGATCCATCTAATTGGCAAAAGGCTATGGGCATTTTTAAAGGTTTTAGTCTTAAGCCCATCTTCTGTACTACTTCCGGGCTGATCACACATCTTGTGCACCCAGAGTCTAGCAAGGCTGGCATTTCCTCCTTGGCCCCTGATATGGGTACTGTTAACTGCACTGGAATGGTCATAGGGCCCTTGTTTGGACTTACCAATGAGTCGTCTTCTGAATCGATGTCACTCTCTTCAGAGAAGGTCGGAGTTCCCAGCCTGTCTCCCTTCGGATGGTCGACCTCTACAACCTCCCTCATCTTAAGCCATTTCACGATCCTTCACTGAGGGTTTTCCAGGTTTTTTTTTCCTCTTGGCACCCCCTTCGGTTCCAACTTGGCCCAACAGTCTGCAGCCCGGTGACCTTCCTTCCCACATCGGAAGCAGACAGTAGTCTTGAGTCTTGCTGCCATCCCTCCCTTTTGGGGTTTGAAGGCTTCTTGAGGACATGCGGGGGAGAGCTTGCTCCAACCAGAGCCCCCCCCGACGTCTGTTTCAGGTTAAATCAATTTCCACCTCTGCTGCCATCATGTACCACATCTGCAGATCATTGGGGTCTCTTCTGGCAATGCAGTTCTGGTATATATCTTCATTTAACCCATCTTTGAATGCTTCTATCAGGGCTACTTGGGACCAGCCTCGAATATGACACGCCAGCTCTCTAAATTCCTGGGTGTAGTTGGCCACTGATCTCCACCCCTGATTTATGGTCTTCATCTTAATCCTGGCCTTACGTTCCGCCAGTGGGTCCTCAAACCTTGCCCTCAGAGCAGTCATGAACAGGTTATAATTCAACAGCTGGGGAGCATTATCATTATGCAAAGTCACCATCCATTTTGCAGCTGTTCCCTCCAGAGCCCTGGTAACACATCTAACCTTGGCTGCTTCTGAGGAAAAATCCCCTCCGTATTCCTCCATAGAGCTCCAAACTTGTGCTAGGAAAAATCCTAACTCCTTGGGATCCCCCCCATATTTTAATTCCAACGGAGGCAACTTTGGAGTTCTACGTCTTCTGGCAATTACTCCTTCCCCTGAGGGCCCCAGGGCTGCTGCTTGCTGTTGCGCTAGCCCAGGTTGATTTATGGGGATGGCTGCTCGGCTTCTTCTGGCTGGGGCTGCCTCCCACTCCTCTCCCTCATACCTTTGTTCAGTGTGAGGCTCTCCGAGAGCTTCATCTATGAGGCGACTGGCTTGATTTAGTAAAAAATCTTTTCTTTCCCTCTCTTGCCTTGGCTCCTCTCTTCCACGCCGACGAGTAATGATGACTCCTGGGGCGGGGGGGCGCTCCTCAGGATCCTTCCAACCTACTCCCAATGACCATTTGGGTTTTACAGCTGGTTTTTCCTCAATGTTGAGCTCTGCTAACAAGTCAGCTTCTCTTACTTCCTCTAGCAGGAGCGAGTCTTGCCCTCCTTGGTCACTGGCTGGAGTTGACATGATGTTCAAGACCCGCTCGGAAGAAATTGCGTTATCTCTCTGGGTGGGCTGGTAGAGTGAGATTCAGAATAATGTCAGTTGGTGCTCCGTTGAAAATCCAAGAAAGAAATACTTAGACTCTTGTAATTAGAGAAAAGATATCTGTTACTGGAAGTTAGTGGTAGCAATGAGAAAGTTCTGAATCTAGGGAAATAGGCACATACGTCACATATATCAAGGGAGTGAAATGTTCCCACCCCCAATAGTTCAAACGGTTCTTCCAATTAAAAGTTGTGAACTTCAGCATGTGGACATCTCCAGGTGGTGATGATTAGTTGATCTTGGCTTACTCAGATAAAGGTTTGCAATTGCGCAGAGAAGAGAAAGCTAAGCAGGAATGAGAAACCCTCCCCAGTTTATACAATATCAGTTATTAACACTTTCAACACTTTCCACCCCCCGTTACTCATGGCAGCCCAAAAGAAACAAAGGAAAGGAGGAAGATCTTGAAGGCTGACATTTTCTATATATTAGAGCAATGAAGTTATAAAGAATTTATCCCTTTATGATCTTGTATTCCTGCAAGCTTAAACTGATTGATTTCACATTCATAACAAAAAAAAACCCAAAGTCATTGATGTTCTCTAAAGAATTCCCCCTTTACAGCATTCAGATTCATGAAACTGCTAAATTAAATCCACTTTTCAAAAGAAATAAATTAATTAGAACTGTGTGCTGGAAGTCAGCAAAATTACATGGACTTTAGAAACCAAGTTTTTAAAGAAATATATTTGGACAACTGCAGCACAAGTTTCTAAGAAATGTATTATGCTACTTCCTTTAAAAGATGTAATTATTAATAATAATTAATACACAGCTTAAACCATTTTTTTTACTGAAAAGTTTGCAATTGCCATTTTTAAAGCCTTTGTACTGATTTTGGTGAAAGCAGCCTTCTTTCTGCACTTATAAAACCGTAGTTCCAATGAAAAAGCGCTTCCACTCTGAGAAGTCCTTGTGACTTTGGAGGGATCAGAGCTGGGAAGTTATTTACAGAATTACAGAGCTCCTTGAAGTAGATCCTGTGGACTTTCTATACCATCTTAGACATGATCAAAGTGTATATAATCACACATGGGGTGAAGAAAGCGGGCGGAGAGAAGTTTTGCTTCCTCTCTCAGAATGCTGGGTCCAAAACTCTTCCTTCAAAGATTTCGAACAGACCAAAATACTTCTTCATACAGCACACAATTAGCCAGTGAAATTAATTCCTGAAAGATGTGCTGGCAGCCACAAATGGAGGGATTTGATAATTGTATAAATCTGAGAGTAATATTTTGAAACTCAATGTCACCTCTAGTTGAGGGCAGCATGGCATTCCTGCCAATTGCAGGGCACTAGTGGTAGTTCTCAGGTGTTAAAACACAAGCAATAAAAGCAAGTTTGATGTCACATAATGTGAACTCTTAAGCCTTTAACTAGTCAGAAGCTTCCATGACCACAAAAGGCAGCAGGATCAAAGTTTGCTATGGAGCTTTATGATATATCTTTAATAAGTTAGTGTTAAACCCCAAAAAGTTATCTATAAAATGAAGGCCATTTTATAACATTATATAGTATATATACACTGTATTATCCAAATATGAACAAAGAATAAGTTAAGTGAAATGTATAAGTCAAGATTAGAGTGTCTTTGTTTACTGAACTACCAGAAGGGTTGAAATGGGCTAATTTGAGCTTTGTTCCCAGCCCTCGCCATGTGAATGGTGCCGTTGTGAGCCCAGCAATGAAGTTCACTGTGTTGTAGCAGATTGTGCCGTCCCTGAATGTGTCAACCCAGTCTATGAGCCAGAACAGTGTTGTCCAGTCTGCAAAAATGGTAAGCTTTCAATACATAAAAAGAAATATGTTATCCAATTTTTAAAGCTTTTGACAACGCTTAGAAATGTAGCTTCATTAGGAAAGGCTATTATTTGTAAACTCACAAAGAGTATGTGAATGATGGGCAACCTTCTTCATTGGCATACGCACCGAGATGTCTGGTACCTATAAAGTTTATTAATTTGGGGATTAGAAAACTGGATGGGTAACTGTAATAGAGACAAGTCACAATTTATGATACAGAAGATGAGCAGTCCCTTGAAATTTAACTCAGACAACCTAAAGACTATGAGAATAGGATTTTTAAATTATGATTTTCCTTAGCCAAAAAACTATTTTCAGTTAGTAGAATTATAATGCAAAAAAAAATAAAGGTATGATAAGCACTCACAGGTTTATATCATAACTGGATTAATCAAAAATTAATATTTCATATATCATTCCAATAATGTATATTCCAAATGTTGCAGTGTCTCCAGTTGACCTCAACTATATCCAATGATATTCCCAGAAACCTGAAAGAGCGCAACTCCTCCCCATTACTGCTCCTTGACATCTATCAAACATATTTAGGAAAATTGTGTTTCCAATTGTCCTTAATCCTTTAATTAGTTTATCATCATAGCAGGATAAAAGGCTGTATATTAGCAGAATGGGGAAACAAAGCTGAATCATATTCCACCGGGTTGCTTATGAAAATCCAGTGATGCGATCACTGTTGCAGCTTGAAGCTATACCCTAAATGGGGCTTCATTATAAAAATTATATCACATTGTGGCTTTGTTAAATGTCATGTCACATAAGCTTAGAGCAAAGCTGCCCTGACACAGCAAGCCATATACAGAACTTCAGGGATTTGGGGCTTTCCTAGCTGTTACAAAATCCAGTTACATCTGTGCTAAGTAATCTGGTTAGTAAAAATCCTGTTTCTAAAAATATTTAAATCATATACTTACATGCTCTTCAATTGCAGTAATTTAAATGATGCTGATGATGTATTAAAGATTTTCAAATTGAAATGATGTTTGAATGCATCTCTAGTTCATCAATATTTTTTATTATTCCAAAGAATCTCCATGACATACAGACTTTGCAAAAAAATTAGAATCAGCCAAAGATAATATTCCACTTCCATAAGTACTTTATCTTAAACATTTCTCCTAAAATTGTAGACTGTATATAATGTCAGAAACATTATTTTATTTATTTTATTATCAAATTTTGAAATCACCCATCTCCCTCACAGGTGGGTTGTATAAATGAAATCACACAAATGTGACTTCTAAGAGGGAAACAACTTGCTTATATTAATACATATTAAAATGTAGAGTACTTGGAGGTCTCCATAGGAAAACTGCCCCTTATTTTTCCTCTAATGTGCTTATATTATGATGTTATATTCTCTGTCTGTGCAAATCCATTATTATATGAAGTAATATTTATAATTGATGTTACATGAATAAAACATTTTTAATTGGAACCACAATTACACAGAAAGTAGCTCCCATAGAGTGAAATGCATGAACAATCTGGACAAAGACCATCTAATCCTTAATTCTATCAGAGCCCAAAGAGAAAATTAGATGGTTCTTAACTTCCACTTCCCTCTGTCTAAATAATCCTGTCATCCATTTCTATGTTGCTTCTCCAAAACTTGGGTTCAAGCTAACAGGATAGCTACTGTGATAAAATAAAAAAGTTAAGGTCACAAATGCCAGATATAATACTGGTTGTCCATTGTTTTTTTAAGCTACTCTAGGATGTGGACAAAGTTGGGAAACAACTGGGTTATTCATACTATAATTTTTCTCATCCCAAGTGGGATACATAGCATCATCTATGTTATTCTGATCCCTAACCTTCCATGAAACTTTAGTTGTGATTTGTTTCTCTGCAGCTCTAGTTTGCCACAAATGGTATGTTGAGCAAGGCTGTTAATTGCTGATCTAAAATACCACAGTGAGACAGGGAGAGAGAAACACAGGGGTGTCTGCAATGTGTAGTTAAAAACAATCAAGATAATAGTCACAGCAGTGCAATAATGTGTGGCAAATGCTGTTAATTGATTAAATTTCTGGCTCAGTACCCAAAAATCAACTTTATAACATCTATGAAGAAACATTTGTCATTTCTTTTCCTGATTTCCTCACTTTGGATCATAAAATAATTTTCTCGGGGGCTGCCTTTGTTGCAAATTTTATCACATTCTGTTCTAAAACATCATATTTTCTAGGGATCTCACTTTCTCTAGTGCAGTGTTTCCCAGCCTCAGTAATTTCGCAGGTTTGTGGGCTTCATCTCTCAGAATTCTCATCAATGACCATATTGGCAGTGGAATTCTGGGATTTGAAGCTTACAAACCTGGGAAACTACGCCTGGAATTCCCACTGATAGGAAACATTGCAAGTCTAGTGAATTGTGTAGTAAGTTTGTTTCACGCAAACCAATGCTCTATGTAAAGGGTCCTTTCCAGGGGTGGGATTCAAACTTTTTAACAACCGGTTCTGTGGGTGTGGCTTAGGTGGTGGGTGTGGCTTGATGGTCATGTGACTGGGTGGACATGGCTTAGTGGTCCTGTTATTGGCTGGGTGTGGCCAACTCATTAGCACTCACATCGAGGCATGCATCTCCTTGCCTGGCCTCTCATGACTGTAGGGATGCTGCAACAGTCATAAGTGTGCAAAAATGGTCATAAGTCACATTTTTCAGTGCCATTGTAACTTTGAATGGTCACTCCACACAAGCAAAGTACAGCAAAGGAGGGGAAAAAAACTCCAGAGAAGTTCCTGAGACAGGAAGTCTAGTCCTGCCAAGAATGTAATAAGGGTTAACGGAGAGGCAGTTTCTGTAAGCAACCCCAGAATGTTTCCCTCCTGCCTTCCTTAAAGGATTAGGCCAGTAATTTCTTCTAACAACCAGTTCTCCGAACTTCTTAGCGGTTCTAGCGAATAGGTACGAACTGGTAGAATCCCAACCCTGGTCCTTTCAACTAAAAGTTGAAATAAAAAGTTTCCATGTTGGAAAAAATGATGCTAGTTTGATTTTGTCTCCATGAGAAAATTTACTGACTCAAGGGGAAAAACTATTTTCCTCTAGAGTGAACTTTTCTTGGACTTGGCTGGGAACATAAATGACCTCTGTGATCATATTAAGAGCAACTGCATTCTTTTCGCTGATGTAAAGCTGTTCAATACCACAGACAATACTGCTACCCTTCAAAAAGATCTTGACTATGTATCAGAATGATCAAACAAATGGCAACTTCAAATCTCAACAAATAAATGCTGTCTTACATATTGGCAAAAAAAACCCAGAAAATAAAATACAAGGTGAATAGTCAAGACCTTGTTGATGATCCAAGCTCTGTAAAGGACTTTGGAATACTCATCTCTAATCATCTAAGTGCTTGAGCCCTCTGTAACTACATAGCCAAAAAGGCATTAAGAGTTGTTAACCTAATCCTACGTAGCTTTTTCTCTGGTAATATCACACTACTAACTAGAGCATACAAAACATTTGCTAGACCAATACTCAAATACAGCTCATCAGTCTGGAACCCACATTACGTATCTGATATTAGCACAGTTGAGAAAGTCCAGAAATATTTCACAAGAAGAGTTCTCCACTCCTCTACTCGTTGTAGAATACCTTATGCCACCAAACTTGAAATTCTAGACCTAGAAAACCTTGAATTACGCCATCTTCGGTCTGATCTAAGTATGGTATGTAAAATCATACATTGCAATGACTTACCTGTCAATGAATACTTCAGCTTCAACCATAACAACACAAGAGCACACAATAGATATAAACTCAAGGTTAACCGCACCAAACTTGATTGCAGGAAATATAACTTCAGCAACAGAGTGTTCAATGTCTGGAATACTCTACCTGACTCTGGTTTCTTCCCCAAAGCCCAAAAACTTTAACCTTAGACTGTTTCCTATTCACCTCACCCCTTTCCTAAGAGGTCTGTAGGGGGCGTGCATAAGTGCACCAATGTGCCTACCGTACCTTGTCCTATTGTTTCTTTTATTTTTCTTATATGTACCCATTTCATGTATTCATAACTATGTATATACTTGTACCTATTATCTTGTAAGCGATTGACAAATCAAAATAAATAAATAAAAATAAAATAAAAATAAAACATGAGAATTGAAAAGCATTCTGGCAAAAAAAAAAAAATCCTTAAAAGAATACAAATGCCAACATCACATGTTGCTCTATCCTGGATTAATGTAGCAGAAACAGCATCCAGCATATGCATGAGACTGTGGCTAGCTTTCTCTGATTGGTTTAAAAGTTTAGAAAAGTTCATTTTCAATAGGTCCTTATCCTTGGGGTACAATTGCCATGAATAATCTGCAATCCAAATTAATACATGATTCCTGATTCAGAGAGAACTTATCATTTTAACTGCAATCTGATTAAAGAAACCTTTAAAACAATATATTAAAAAGCACCATAGTTCCTAGATCTTAGTCATTACTCAGCAGCTTGCGATGCTTCTGGTCCTTTCCAACATTGAAATGGGGTTTGCTATATCTTTATCTAGAATTTCAAACATTATGTCATAATATATGTACAAAGAAGCAAACAAAGTCTTCTTTACAAGTACAAACTAAATTTTCTAATCATTAACATTATCTAAAGAACACAGATCAGGATCTACCCTGGATCCTCTTTCCTGTATTGGCATACGGTTCAACATTGTACCAAAGGCTAGTACAAAATCCAGTGTTTAGAACAGGACCATGTTAAGTACATCCTGAAACTATTGAACTAAGGAGAAATTTCCTGACAATGAGAACAATAAACCAGTGGAATGGCTTGCCTTCAGAAGTTGTGGATGCTCCATCACTGGACTGGAGGCTTAAAAAGAAAGAGCCTGGGGTCTCCTGCTTGAGGAGAGGATTGGACTAGAACAGGGGTCACCAACCTTTCTGACTTTGTGGACCAGCAGAGGGGTGAGAGGGGATGGATCCATGTGAGTGG